GATTTTTTTTTTAAAAAAAACACCTTGAAACAAGCCCCTTGCTTTCTTGTTTTTCATTTTAGAGTCACAAACCTGGATTGGTGTTTCTATGTTGAATATGTCTTGTCCCCCAGGCAGAAAAATGTATTTGATCAAGAAGATGTTTAAATTCTGAACGGTGCAGTAGAAGCAACAGTTAAAGATACTTGTCTGCAAACTCTGCCTTCACAAACAGCCTCAGAACATACCAGAAATGAAGCAATAAAAATGCCTTCATTTCAACATACTCAGGAACAACGTAATGGAGAAATACTTTTCTGGCTTTGGTTGAGGCTTGTTTTTAATATACATACACAGTGTCCAAGTTTGCATTTGGTAGTCTGCTTGATAAAGCACAACATACACAGTGAATATAAAGACAACAATGTTACATTGAACTCAAACTTTCCCGTACAAAAAAATAATAGTAAAATATTTAGTTACCTACCTACCTGTTAGTCCTTCAAATAAGTTTGAAATTTGAATGCATGTTTTCACTGCTCTTGATAATTTCCACTATCTCCTCTCCTCAGATATCACCAGGAATGTGACCTGTTTTTATTTTTCTTTTGGTCAATGTGCACAGTGGGATGCTGGAACAATTTAGATAACATTATATCCTACTTTGGGACAACATTTTGGAATTCAGAGAACTTTTGTTCCACACTCAGTGAAACTTGCTGAGCTTGGAACTATTTGCAGAGCACTAGTTTATGTCATGTTTATACAAGGCAGTTTTAGATCAGCAGGTTTTATATCAATTGATATACTCAGAATGGCAAATGAATTACCTTTTGATGAAAGTTGGGTCATGTCAGAGGTGAACTATAATATTTTAAAATCATTTTTCTTAAATCATGAAAATAAACAGTACAACATGGGGAGGGGCAGAGGGAATATCTAGAAATAAAAAGATATCTCAGACTTCCAGTTTTCCTCCCTTGTCTTAGGTTTCTGCTTTTTAAACTGATGTTTCACATCTTTATGTATAAGATGGTGATATATTTCTGGTTTTGAAACTTACTGTGGTTGAAAATATAAGCAATTCATCATTTTATAGCTTGAACTTTGTGGAACTTATTAAACAAATGTATATTGAACTCATTGACAGCATTAATGTTCTATATATATTCCTTAAAATTTTGCATATTTCATTTTATAAGCAATGTTGCCAATTATAAGCATTGCTTATCTTGAGTAAAGTAGCATATTGAAGAAGAGTAATGATTTATTCAGATCTAAAATAAGAAATAATTTCTCTGTGATAAATGGATTTATTAAAAAAATCAAACAATGCATATCAGATGATGAATGAATCCTAGGTGAAAAAGAATAAGATAATTATTTCAAGATTAGTTGCCCATATTTTTGTTAAAGTTGTATCAGCGGTATAATGACATTACTCCATTATATTTGAACCAAGATTAGATTATGCTATCAAACAACTCTGTGGAATAGCTTTCTCTTTATGTCATGCCTGTTTCTTTCTGGTTATTTTTTATTGACTGTGGCATAAAAATGAGTCACTGCTGAGTAGTATGTTATGTCCAAACATCTTGAATGTATAATAGCTGCAAAATGACTCAGCTTTGTCTGGGGATGTTCTCACCTTATAGCCGTGATGGCGAACCTATGACATGTGTGCCAGAGGTGGCATGCAGAGCCCTCTGTGTGGACACGCGTGCCATCACCAGCTGCTCTTCTGGGTTCCGGCGCATGCATGTGCGCCAGATAGCTGATCCGGCGCACATGTACACCAGCAGGCTGCTCTCTTCTGGGTTCGGCCTGCACATGCACGCCGGCCAGCTGATCTTCGCATGACCAGAGTGCATGTGCGCGACAAAACCTGGAAGAGCAGCTGGCGATGGTGCACCTGTCCACAGAGAGGGCTCTTGTGTGCCACCGGTTCGCCATCATGGCTATAAGGGAGAACAAAAATGTATGGACTTTAGTTCCCCAGCCAACCTTAACTTCTTAAAGTTAAACTTTCAATCTTAAAGTTGGTAAAGTTAAGAAACATTGGTCTAAAACAATACCCTACAATTGAAGGGTCCTCCAGATGTCCAGACTTCACATTCCCAGAACTGTCAGTTCTTATTTACTTCTGAGAGTAACGTTTATGCAGCAGGAGGTTGCTCAGGTTGGGGAAGCTTTGTCATGCTTTTCTATATACAAGATTATTAAATTATTCAGATCCCAGCTCAGAAAAGCTTTGTCATATGTCTTTGGTTTTCAGAAAATGATCAAATACTCAGCATGGAAGTGTCTTCTTGGGATTTCCCCCTATTTTATTCATAACATAAGATATATACAAACTTAGTTTCTAAGTTTTTAGAAACTTAGAATAAAACTAAGTTTCTTAGTTTTTATCCATGCAAAGTTAATTTATATAGTATTAAGGCAATTAAACAGTCATTTTCTCTGCCAGTGCACTCTCTTATCTTCATTGGTCATAAAAGGAGTGCAGCATTGATTTATTGCTACTCAAGCCAATTTTTCTAAATTAACCATATCCTTCTAATGTGTTATACCTATGTCTACATGTTTATGTAACTAGCTTTACATCCCCCTTCTGTCTTAGTTAAGCAAGATATCAATAACACTTGGCTGACAATCAGATTGCAATATGTCATTTACTTTGATCTTTCTCTGGATCATGATTCCCCCTCTTCCTCAGATCACTTTCAGTTCATTTATTTCAGTGGGTCTTCAGGTCATTTTGGAGCACTTTATCTCCCCTGTTCCAGAGCAACCAGTAACACTCAGGCCTTCAGCCAAACCATCATGGTTAATCAGCCATGCCAATTTCAAGCTTAGCCAACATATCATCCCCTTTTTGCATTCTGTCAAAAAGTTTGGAATTCTTATCTGTCATTGCTGCAGCCTGACCTTTTTTGGAATTTCGAAACACATGATAGAATAGCAGCAGTTCTCATCTGCTTCATTCTATTGAACAGAGGTGCAGATTTCTAAAACCAGTAAAAAACAGACCGTATTCATTTATGGAGATGAAAAAGAAATTACTTATCAGTACCACTATCTGATGCTTTAGCACAGTGCAAGCAAGGGGGATTCCTAGGAGCAGCATGATGGCCTAGAGCAGTGATAGCTAACCTTTTTGCCGTCGCGTGCCAAAAGCGGGGGGAGCGTTGGGGTTCACACACGAACATGGCCATACCCATAATTCAGTGCACCCCACACATGGACCCGTGACCCCCCTGCGTGACCCCTGCTTTTGGCACGTGGTGGCACAGTGGGCCCGGTAGGGCCATTTTTCACCCTCCCCAGGCTCTAGAGGCTTTCTAGGAGCCAGGGGAGAGTGAAAATGGCCTTCTCCCATCCCAGGCCCTCTGGAGGCTGGTAATGGCCCATTTCCTGACTTTCAGTGGGCCTGGAAGGCCCGAAAATCAGCTGGCCAGCACGCACATACGCGCTGGAGCTGAGCTAGGACAACCCTTGTGTGCCCACATATATGGCTCCGCGTGCCACCTGTGGCACACATGCCATAGGTTCACCATCACAGGCCTAGAGGTTAAGCTCTCAGGAGGCTGTGAGTTCGATCTTAGGTAGTGGCAGATACGTCTTTCTTTGGATGCAGTGAATAATTGTCTGCTGCGAACTCTGCGTAGGCGTCAGGAAGGGCATCCGGCCAGTAAAAGCTTGAGATCTGTTCAGTCACCCCAACTCCACCTGGATGCAAGAGGGATTCTTGAAATGGTTATCTTTCCAGCTTTTCTTTTTCTAGAACTAAAGTGGTAACAGGAGGTATGGAAAACCTCACTACAGGTAGTCATCAACTTATGACCACAATTGAGCCCAAAATTTATGTTGCTAAGCAAGACATTTGTTAAGTGAACTTTGCCCCAATTTACAACCTTTCTTGCCACAGTTGTTAAGTGAATCATTGTAGTTATTGAGTTAGTAACACTGTTGTTAAGTGAATCTGATTCCCCATTGACTTTGCTTGTCAGAAGGTTGCAAAAGGCAATCACATGACCCCAGGACACTGCAACCGTCATAAATATGAGTCAGTTGGCAAGCGTCTGAATCTTGATCACATCACTATGGGAATGATGCAACGGTCATTAAGTGTGAAAAACAGTCATAAGTCACTTTTTGCAGTGCTGTTGTAACTTTGAACAGTCACTAAATGAACTGTTGTAAGTTGATGATTACCTGTATTCTTTTTGTTGTCTTTATTTAATGTTGACTTTTTTAATCTTCATAGCTGAATATTAATGAGAAAAGCAACTCATTCTTTGATACATAATACAGCTTGATTTTTCATGAAGTAATCAGATGGCCTCTTAAAGCACTGATACATTTTATACCAGCCTTCTTCAACTTTGTGCTCTCCAAATGAAAATTATTGGAGCTGAAAAGAAACATACTTTATGGGCAACTGTTTGGCAAATAATGGTCATCTTTTGTGGTCTCTTACACTCATTGCTACATGTTTGTGGTTAGTATGGCAAGATGACAACACTTTTAAACCCATTCTCACAGTGGCTATTGACCATTAATTGAAAAGGTGGAAAAAACTGCAGTTGTGTTATGTTGACCTTCCTAGTTGTGAATATAGTGAAGGATAAAGGTGAAACAATGGCCTCCTTTTGTTTTCTTAAATAGGCACCTTTAAATCCAGTCAAGGATGGTTTTCTTTTCTTCCACTGCCTGGGCAGCATAAATAGCAAAGCTCTGCTGATAGTTATCTGATTGAGTGAGATTATGCAACATTGTGAGAGGGATGGAATGCCATCTCAGCTCTGAAATTGGCAAAGGGAACAAAAGAGATGGGAAGACACCCCCCCCCTAAAGGAACTAATAGGCATTGGATGATGGGGGCCTCTAAGCTAATGGAGTAGGAGGGTAACTAATGTCTATGCACATTTGGCTAAAATGTGGGTTCTAAAAGGTTAAAAAAATATTTTGTAATGCCTTCTAAAATTGTAAGCATCTAACTTTTTATATTTTGCTTATAGGCTCATAAATCAGTGAACTTCGTTTCAACTCTCCTTCAAATCACTATGTCAGAACAACTGGATTTACCAGTGAGGCAGGCAGGCAAGTAACAGTTCATCACTTTTTATAGTATAAATATTTAGCGCTATTAATAAGTGACTGAGTAGCAAAATGAACTAATGGAAAGTAGATTTTAATGTGGAGTAATACTATATAAATAAGAACAGGATGGTCTCTGAAAACTGGGTCGGGAGAATAATCCTTGTGCTTAAAATAGTTTGCTAAAGTGGACGTGATTATTTTTGTACAAAAGCATCCCTCAGAATTTATGATTACATGACTGTGTATATATATATATAAATAAAAAAGGTCATCTCATCCTTCTTTGCAATTCCACATTTTGAAAAAGACAAAAGTATTTACTGATTTAAGAAAGATAGAATGGTATCATGGCTATCATCAATATCAGATACAATATTTTTGCATATATTGGAAGAGCAAATCCTGGATGTTTTTTGTCATTAAATTATTCTTACTAAAATCTTGCTTTGAGTTTATTAATTTGAGATCTTGAAATATATAACACGTTTTGCATAATTTCTCTTATCGAGGCATTTTAGTAATTCAGCCTCCTTCAGCTTAATTCTAGTCCCCTAATGTTGATATTAGTTGTACTAATAGGTACCATACATATCAGGTTGAGTATTCCAGTCACAAAGCTTAAGAAATTTGTACAAGCTTGAAAGTTAAATAAATAAATAATATGTGCCCTTAAGATCTGTGACAGACACTTTCATATCCATTTTTCTTTGCAAAAATTCATAATATTATGCATAAACATTTTATGCCTGAAATAATCTGTGAGATGATAGTAATGACTGATACTTAGTTTGATGTCTAGGGATTTAATCTACCACAACACACAGGCTGTCATAGCAAAAGTGATTGCAGTAGATAAGGTCCCTATTCCTCAATATGCAAATAGCTATTTTAAAAAATAAAGAAGCAATAAATTTTAGGACAAAATTATACAGGATGGAGTACTTTATAAAGTTCCATGTTCTGCTTGTGTGCTGGTTGTGACCTAATAGTTATGTCTATTAGATTATTACGGATGAATTATAATACAATTTTAGGGCATCTTAATACTGTTATTTGACAGGTGTTATATACTTGAAGAATATGATAACCCAGTATTGGCCTGACCGGGGAATTACTCCAGGGGATAACCCGCCTTACTCAATACCAGAAGAAGATAGACATTGTATTCGAGAGAATATTGTAGAAGCTATTATTCATTCTCCTGAACTGATCAGGTATATTTAAAGTTGTGGTCACAAAGTATTCTTGTTCCAAATGCATACTTAATTGGAGTACTTTCAGTCATACTAGAAAGTATAATACTGATACTATGCTCTTAAATTTATATTGGGGTAGGGAAATTCATGGGCATTACACAGTGTAATTGACAGAAGAGAATGCCTATTGTACTCTACTGTATTAAAATGCTGACACTCCTTGGTGTTCTCGGATCCTCAAATTGTATTTACATCTACTTCAAACATTAAACTGTTAATGTATAGAAACTCAAAATAGCAGTATTATTTGTAAAATATCTTATATGTTCCAGAGTACAGCTTACTACTTGCATACATCATATTATCAAGCATGATTATCCTACTCGTTGGACTGCTGTTGTTGAGAAAATTGGATTTTATCTTCAGTCTGATAATAGTGCCTGTTGGCTTGGAATACTCCTTTGTCTTTATCAACTTGTGAAGAACTATGAGTAAGTTACTATGTATTATGTATATATATGGTGTGCTTTATTTGTAATTCACATTACTGTTTTCTATACATTAGAGTTGTATGACCTTCTAGTCTGAATAAAACATGAAATTGAATTTATGATTGGATTTGACAGATTATCTGTTTACCTTTTGAGGTACAAGAGAAATGACTTTTTCATAAGGAATGTCTTCTACAATTGTAGACATAAACATGCAATACAGGTAATCCTTGCTTAGGGATTATTTGTTCAGCCACCTATCTGCCCATTGTTCTCACCCTGATTACCTGGGATGCAGTTTCAATGATACAAGCAAGCAAATTGATTCCCAGTTTGTCTCATGTTGTGGTTAGTTCTGAGCTGAACAACCTGCATAGTCCCCACTTAACAGTGGCAATAGGAATTGTCACTAAGTGAACAGGTCATATGATGACATGCTTAATGAGAGAAATTCAGTCCCACCTGCCATCTCTGCCCACCTGTGCATCTGCTGCAGAAGTTCAGCAAACTGCTAGATGACGGCAGAGATAAAAAGAGCTTTGGTGGCGCAGCAGACTAAAGTGCTGTTAAGTAGCACCAGCTGCCTGCAATTACTGCAAGTTCAAATCTCACCACGCTCAAAGTTGACTCAGCCTTCCATCCTTTCGACGTAGGTAAAATGAGGACCCGGATTGTGGGGGTAATAAGCTGACTGTATAAAAAAGAACACCGCTTAGGGGGGGCCAAAAGCCCTACTAAGCAGGTATATACAAAAGTATGAAGGCTATTGCTTGATGCATTGTAAGCCACCCTGAGTCTCCGGAGAAGGTAGCATATAAATTGAACCAATAATTAATTAATTAATTAATTAATTAATTAATTAATTAATTAATTAATTTTGGTTTATATCTCTTTGCTGCTATCTATTGGTAATTTGGATTTTTAGAGCCCAGATAGAATATGCCTACTAAAATATGTATGCTTGCCTCTTTCGCAGATAATACTGAAATGCTACACCAGTTTTTCTCAATTTGACAACTTTTAGGTGTGTGGACTTCAACTCCCAATATGTGCTATTTCTGGGATTTGGTGTCAACACATCTTAAAGTTGTCAAATCTAAGAAACACTGCTACACTTCTAATTATTTGTATTTATATATGAATATGTTACTGTCTTTGTGTTTTTTATTAAGAAGAGTTAATTTTTACAGTGTTTCTCTCTCTCTCTTTTAATCCTTTAAAAGTCTTGACACCTGTGTAAATAATTTGGATGTTTGTCTGTGAAAATGTTCTGTGAAGATGCTTCCTCTTTGAATTGCTTCAAAAATTTCTCCCATATTAACTTGTACTATTTTTTAAAAAATATTGTTATTAAAAATTATGTCTTTAAGAAGTATCTAACCCACTCTCAGTTAAGGAATTATGTCAGATTATTTTAAAAATTTGATTTTTTTGCAGCCCAGAAAGTGTGCTGAACTGAGTTGAAGTAAGTCTGATTCTAGAGACTGGCCATGTATTGCAGAAATATTTTTCTTAAAGAATATCAGCTGTAAATGAAAACATTAAAGTGTGAAGTTGTATATGCTCAAACTTTTTCTCATCCATTAAGATACTCCCTAAATTGACAGAAGGAAAATTGTTGTGTGGGGGATTAGTTTAAATTCATTCCTTAAATTGACACCCAAAAACAATGAAAAAAATTGACCCAAACTAGTATCTGGTGGAGGCTACAAAAGAGGCATTGGACAAACTGCATTTATGTGATTGTAATAGTTTTCTCCTTATTCTTTTCCGTCGTGCATTTAAAAAGGAAAGACATACAGCAAGAACATCGTTATTTATGATAACGATGTATATCCAGAGAAATTAACAAGGTAGAGGTTTATTTGTTTCCTATGCAGTACTTTCTTTGGAAATAGGATAAAATTTCTTCATTTTTAATCGATGGTGGTTCTAATAGATTTTTAGTTTTTCTAAAATCAGCTCTTAACTATTTTTCAAAGATACAAAAAACCAGAAGAGAGGACTCCATTGATAGCAGCAATGCAACACTTCTTGCCTGTTCTGAAAGACCGTTTCATCCAGCTCCTTTCTGATCCGTCTGATCAATCTGTCCTTATCCAAAAACAGATCTTCAAAATATTTTATGCCCTTGTTCAGGTTTGTCCTTTTTACAGTTATGCTGTTTTAATCTTTACATACTGATTGGAACAATTATATATTGATGCTTAGCCAAGAAAGTGGATAATTTAAGAAATTAAATATCAAATGGATTTTCTCAGGTTGTTTATATCTTTGCTTAATTTATAATCATAACTTATTTTTGCTTTGCTCATAATTTTTCTCAACAGTATACATTACCCCTGGAGTTGATCAATCAGCAAAACCTAGCAGAATGGATAGAAATTTTGAAAACAGTTGTTGACCGAGATGTACCAGCTGTAAGTATTTACTTTATACAGACTGTGATTTATGTATATGACATTGTATGTGAGTTGGTTTTATGATTGAGTGTACAAATAAATGATATACACAGCTGTATTATTTTTATCTATAGATGATGTAAATTTTGGAGAATGGAATTCTAGTGACATTTATAGATTTCTCTCGCTTTTTTATAAGCATGTCCCTTGGACTTTTGAAAATTCAAAAGTAAAAGTTGCAGGCCGCTTTGTTATTTCTCTTTGTATCTTGCCATTCTAAATCTTTTGTTGAGTAAGAGAGTAAACATATTTATAGTAAGGGACGAGCATCCTATGGCCCCCATCTCCCTTTTCTCAACTTCAAGGCTTCCTCCAATAGTTAAAAACTGACAGCAATTTTTCTCACATTTTTGTGGTGGGAAACTTAAAAATTGTAATCTTAATATGATCCTAATTTTTTTAAAAAAACGCCCCAACCTACATCTATGGAGTATATACAAATAAAATAAACTCTTATCCTGTAGAGATGCAAGACAAGATCATCTGCTTTTGTGACATTTCTCTGTTGATTATAGCTGTCATCCGTCCCCCATAATTTTAAAGGTGATTCCTACCCATCAAAAGATGGTTCCCCCTATTTAATTAGATTTTAAAATAAAAGCCCAGAAGCATATTACATTATAAATTAATACTATAAATTTTAATTTGGCTTCAAAAGGAAACTCTCCAGGTGGATGAAGATGATAGGCCTGAATTGCCATGGTGGAAATGTAAGAAGTGGGCACTCCACATCTTAGCCAGACTTTTTGAAAGGTAACATTTTTCCCCCTCAAGATTCATTTTTAAGTATTCTAAATGTTACATTTTTGTTACATGTACATAATATATTACACTGTTATTTATTTTTTTTACTAATATTTCAATAGGTATGGAAGCCCTGGTAATGTTTCCAAGGAATACAATGAATTTGCTGAAGTTTTTTTAAAGGCATTTGCTGTTGGTATACAGCAGGTAGGATTTTTTTTCTTTATAATTTGGGTTTGATTGAGAATTAACTGATCCTTACTATCATTTTTTTTTATTTAAAAATTAAAAATCATTTAAACCTAAGTAGAAGGTGTTTGAAATAAAATTGGTAGTCTCTGTTTCTTTTTGCCAAATAGAATTTATTACTTCCTAGAGAACACAATTTCTTTAGTCAAAGGAATTAAATTCTGCCTTAGTTGATAAAAGAAGCATTTTAATGTTGATGTATATAATAAGTCAAATTCAAGCTCCCTGAGGCCAAATTCCTGGCATTCCAAGCAATTAGACTTTGCATACACTTTGCCATCTTTTCTTCTCTGTATGTATTACCTTGTAGTACATAAAGCATTGCTTCATACTAAATGAGACAGTTCATTTGTATATAACATAATTTCACTCTGTCTTGTTTTGGGATAAGCTGTTGCACAGAAAAGAGTAAGAAATAGTAAGCCAAAGAATGTAAAAGAATGAAATGAGAAAATATAGCTGAAATATTTGGACTAGAAGACATCCAAGGTCCCTTCCAGCTCTATTCTGATTGAAATGTATTCACACCAATAACCACTCATTATACTTTCCTTCATACCTTTATATCTCTATAAACCATCCTAGTTTCCACCACATCCATACAGCTTTTCATGCATTGACCAAGTTTTTCAAACTTGTCTTCTTTTCAGGATCTCACCTCCATCCAGTCATAGCCTTTTTTTCCTCCTCCCTCTTAATTTATTTACTTTGTATTTGGTCACATTCATTCAGCCCTCATTTATTCTCGACCCTGCCTCATCTTTTTTATCACATACATTTCTCAAGTCACCAAATCTTACTTCACTTCACTTATGTTTCTCCTAGCATGTCTAATATCCACTTATCTAGCATATAAGCAGACAAGAGAATGCTGTTATATGTAGCTAGCTTCTTTTTCTTTTTTCTTTCTGCCGCTTCTTTCAGCAAACACTCACGGTTTGCCACTGATCACATGCTATATAATCATTCTATCTTAGCTGTGTGGAAAGCTGTTATCTAACACATTTTGGAAAACAGCTTAAATCTTTAGAAATAATTAATCAATCCATTTTCTTAGGTTTTGCTGAAAGTGTTATATCAATATAAAGAAAAGCAGTATATGGCTCCGAGAGTTCTACAGCAGACTTTGAACTATATCAATCAAGGGGTATCACATGCAGTTACTTGGAAAAATCTGAAACCTCATATTCAAGTAAGTTGTTTTTCCTGTTTTTTTGGAATGAAGCCTGCATAGCTAAATAATAAGTTATGATTTTTCCCCCCTGGAGCTCTGCTGTAGCAGAATTTGACTGAGTTTTAACTTGTGCTGATGAGTTTTACATTTTATTTTACCATTGACATTTCTAAATTTATTTGATATTGGAAGCCTCTCCCCCTTTTAAAAAAATTAAGAGCAGCCTATAAAAACAAATAATTTTTATTTGCAGGGAATTATCCAAGATGTTATCTTCCCATTGATGTGCTATACAGATGCAGATGAAGAGCTGTGGCAGGAAGACCCTTATGAATATATACGTATGAAATTTGGTAAGTGATTCAGAACTGACTAAATTTGCAGAGTGTTTTCGCAGCTCAGGAGTAATAGGTTCACAAATCACAATGTGTCTTGGTTGGCTTGTTCGGTTTGTACTTAATGTGATAAATACATTCAGTCATTATTTCAAACATTGTGGTTTTTAGAACATGGTTTATATTATATTGTGGTATAATTAGTAAACATTTCATCCCAGTTTTGCCAATCAAGGCTTTGCATAATATATGAAACAGATCAAGATCACAGTAGAATGCAAATGTCAGATATGTTAGAGAAATAGTTCAAAACCTATTTTCACTATTTAGATTTACTAGTAGTAGTTGTGACGTCTTATATGAGGCATGCAAGATGTAATGAGACAAATACTTTATGACCTTTCTTCCGTTTAGTAAGATTTTTCTGCTTTTGCAAGTTTCAATTGGTAACATTTCATTCTGTCCAGTAACTCCTCTTTCATGGCTCTTTGACAAGTTTCTTGTATTTAATTCTTATACTTTTAACACAGAAAGTTAGCTTGTGCCACTCTGTGTATCTTTCTTGCTTTACACTGACAAGCAACTGCTCTCCAGGGTCTTTCCCACCATCTGATCCTTTTAGGTGAAGATGTTAAGTAACGGACATGGGATCTTCTACATACAAAGTATAAATGCTGCCTCTGTCTAATACTCGTCCATCTTTTTACAGTCAATCCCTGAATTTAAACTTTTCAAAGTATAACATCAGCAACCCAGTTATATGTAGGAGAATCCTACTGTATCAGTGGAGTTTTACTGCATGGAATTTTGCATAGAACAAAAGCCTTAGGTTTATAAAATGTTGCAGGATCCATTTTGCATTTCTGTTTTCCAGCATACGTTTATTCTGTGCACTTAACTGACTTATGGAATTTTCTAAAATGACGTTGACTTGCCAGAGAACAAAATAATTTATATTGTTTTCTCAGCATGATCCAAGAAGAGGGTTTTTGTTTTAAAAGAAACTTTTTCACAAATCTCTGAAATTTCAGTCAGCATGGAATAATGAATATGTCCGAGGTGAATCTTAATAAATACAGTTTAGATGATGTTGAAATAATATTAATATGCAATATGTTGACTATTACACTATCTAAAATTATAGAAACATTACTCATTTTACAGCTTTGAGACATGCTTTATGGAAGTTCAGAATGGACATATCTAGTGGTTGATGATTACAAGAATCCTTTATATCTGATTTTGCTTTTTGTTTTGCATTAATTTCTGAATATTTCAAAAGGCAAATAATGTAAATTGTTTCTTTTAATAGATGTTTTTGAAGACTTCATTTCCCCCACAACTGCTGCACAAACGTTGTTGTTTACGGCATGTGGTAAAAGGAAAGAGGTATATTCCATAAAGATTACCTTAAATCCAAAAAAAAAGTTCTTTTTAAATCTCATATGTAGACTATTGGATGCTTTCCTTGGGAAGCTGCTTGTTGAAGGTTTTGAAGAAGTATTTCTTGTGGGCATCATGGGGCATACTCGGCTACTTTCCATAGAAACTGTGTGTGACAAGCAGTTTCCAATCTGCATGCTTGCACTATATTCATTAGTTTGTTGTCAGAATATGGCACTCTAGTGAAATAATTCAGTTTTGCTGACTACCTCTCACCACATCCCTAACATTGAAGTCCCAGCTGATTCATGTAAGATGCAGTGGTTGTACCATTGGCAATGTTATTACTGTATCAGGTTCTGACTCAAAGCATGACAGCCCCCAAAACTAGGAAAGACATGTCGTGAATCTTCCAACTGGATTTCTTTATTATTCCACATCAAAAAATCAAAATGTGTCTAAGGATTTTGGATTTTTCTTGTGAATAATTAGCTCTCCTGCAGTCAGTAGTGTATCTTTTCACTTTAACTGAATTCCCTAAAGACAGTTTTAATCCTGGTATCTTTATTACATTTAAGCATTTTCCTGCACAATATTTAGAAAAATTAAACATAGGCAGACGTATTAGGCATTAGGAGTTACTCAACTCATAATATTGGTTGAACCTTTTGATTGATTGATATAATTGTTTAATGAAATGTATCTGGGCATTTATTTTACTCTCATATTAGGTCCTGCAAAAAACAATGGGCTTTTGTTACCAAATCCTCACAGAGCCAAATGCAGATCCTCGTAAAAAAGATGGAGCATTGCATATGATTGGTTCTTTGGCTGAGATACTTCTGAAAGTAAGTAGAGTTTTGTTGATCCTTTAAAAGTCTTAAGATTTTTCTGCCTTATTTTCACTATAAATAGTCTTTGACTTATGACTGGTTGTTTAATGACTATTTGCAATCATGATGGCCTTAGAATATTTTTTTAGGGCTCCTTTTTTTTTTTACAGTTGGCAATGGCTACAGTAACTTCAGGCTGCTCAACCTTTATACACATATTAAGATTATGTGTTGGAATATATCCAACACATAATCTTAAAATGTTTGTTTTCCTGAAACTGGTAGCGGAAGGCTTGTACTTAATTAAGCAGCTACACTTTCCAAACACAACCACATGATCACTTGGGGCATATTTTCTAATTCAAAGGAATTAATCGCAGGGTGGATTTGATTTAAATTACGATTTAAAACATTTAAACTTAAGTGATTTAAACCATTTAAATCGCTAGTAAAGTGGCTTGATTTAAATAAACTCAATTTAAATCATAATTTTTAAAGAGCAATTGTCATCTCTGTCCTGCAGCGGCTCTTCTAACCTGCTGCTGACTCAACAACAGTCATAATATTGCAGAATATACAGCCTCATGCTACATAACTAAGCTCCATTTCATGCTGAATAAACCAAATTATTAATGTATCTTAAATAGAAAACTATCTTTAGATAGATTTTTACTCCAAAACCATTTTATTAAAATAAATTTGATAAAAATAAAAAAAATCCAATTTAAATTTTAAAAATCTGATTTTTTAATTTTTTTTTTTTAAATAAATTTTTATCCATCCTGATTAATCATAAGAAACAGACCTTGTAAAATAGACATAAATTAATGGTCGTAGTGTGCTAAAGGCATGATATTTGTGTATTTATCACTATTCTATATTTAACAGAATAGAATATCTAGAATTATACCTCTTAAATTGTATCAGTTAATTTTGACTTTCAGACTCAGTAACAGATTTCTGTTTGAAATAATTCTTGCATGATTAGCTTTAGATACCTCTGTAATACATGAATCATTTACACCAGGGCTGTCAAACTCGCGGCCAGCAGGCCGATGCGTCACATGCTGGCCACGCACAGTTTAGCGAAGGGTAAAAAAGCAATATGTCACGTGACGATGCCATGATGATGAGAGTTTGACATTCCTGATTTACACTGTCTTTGTTTTATTTCAATAATTTAGGTAAAAGTTACTTATCTGTGATATACTGTTTTGGCCAAAGTCAGTATTAGTACTGTATTATGTATTAGTTTAGCAACTATTTAGCCCAGTTACTAACATTAATAGGATGGAAAAAATAAAAATATATTTTTGAAAAGTGAGTTATATATATAAAAAAAGAAACTGATCTACTTTTTGGAAAAATGTTTCAACAGAAAAAGATATACAAAGATCAGATGGAGTACATGTTGCAGAATCATGTGTTTCCTCTGTTCAGTAATGAGCTGGGCTACATGAGAGCAAGGGTAAGTACAAAGCTGGATCCAGACTTCTGGAAGTTTCTAGAATGTAAAGGAACACAAAGTTCCCTTAGTCTTACAAAAGTTGCAATGTGTAGTGATAGGAAATAGATGATTCTGATAAGCAATTTGATAATATATTTATTACATATGTTTGTATCCTACCTTGTTCAGGGATCCTATATGTTATACCATACCATAAAATATAATATGTAACATCTTGCAACTATAGTATATCTATCCCTTCCCCCAAAACATTTGCCTTCAAATAAGTAGTGCTGTCTATTTAGTCGTCTGAAAAAAACATTTCTTTCACAGCTTTCCAGAATGTAAATGTATTTGTGGGGTGTGTGTATATACAGGCTATATCCATTGAATGTTAAATAGGGAATCTATGGCATGTCTTTCTGGTCAACACATATGTGGGCAGATTTTATTTGGAGCAGATAGTCCTGCAAGTATAATGTAGAAGGCTTGCTCAGTGTTGATATTACAAATAGTCTTCAGGTTATGACCCTAATTGAGCCTGGAATTTCCATCTCTAAGCAAAGTGATCGTTAAGCAAAACATCACATGGTTGCACTGCTTAGCAATGGCAGTTCTGGCAGTTCCAGTTGAAGTCATTAAATGAGAACCTGTTGCAACTGTGACTTGTGGTCTCCTGTCAGCTTTCCCATTGGCTTTATTTGTCAGGAGCTGCCAGGGAAAGTTGAAAATAGCAATCAGGTTTTCTGTCTCTCCAAAGCTCCCACCCCAATACATGCCATTCCCAACTTGGTTCTTCTGAACCCCAAGCCTTGGTTCTTGCAGGGGATGATTTCAGGGGATCACTAAGCCAGAAGATGCCGACTCATTTCTGCCCTGCATAACTCCTCCCCTTCTCCCAATCTGCTTTTTTGGCCACCCTGCAGAGCATGGCCGAGACTAAGAGGCTGCTATATTCTGCTGTCACCACCTTGGGGAAATTGAAGTGGAGGCAGTTGGCGTTGGGCAGGAGAATATGACCCACAAATGTTGTGACAGTTGTAAATGCGGTCCAATTACCAAGCACCCAAATTTTGGTTAAAACAGTAAATTTCCATGACTGGAATGGATTTGAGCCTTCATCTCCCTGATCTACATCTTAAATATTACATCATGCTGGCTGACTGTGGGATACTGGAGAACTCAAGGTTGTAAGTCCATTTTTTCCAGCACCATTGTTATTGGCAGTCCACTGTGAGGATGCATTGCAATAAGTGCAAGGTTACAAGGACATGACTTTAATCTTGCTAAAGCCTCTTGGTCCAGAACTACAGTCAAAATTTTGAGTTCCATGAAATCCCATATCAGCCAGCATGATGTAATACTTAAGGTATAGGTCCAGGGAGATGAAGACTCAAATCCTTGGTAGAGCCTTGGTAGTACAGTGGTCTAAGGCACCCTGTTATTAAGCTGGTTATTAAGACCAGCTGCCTGCAATTACTGCAGGTTCGAATCTCGCCAAGGCTCAAGGTGGACTCAGCCTTCCATCCTTTCTAAGGTAGGTAAAATGAGGACCTAGTTATGGGGGCAATAAGCTGACTTTGTATAAATATACAAAAGAATGAAGGCTATTGCTTAGCGCATTGTAAGCCGCCCTGAGTCTCCGGAGAAGGGCGGCATATAAATCAAATTTAAAAATAAAATAAAATCCATTCCAGTCATGGAAGTTTACCATCTAACTTTGGCCAGCCAAAGTTCAATTCAGCCTCATGACTGGAGATAAATAGAGATACTGCTTTGGGCTTTTGAAAAAAAGGTGAGATATACTGTACATTTAAACCAACAAATACATTTATTAATAATAGACTCATTCTTAAATTGCAAGGGCTGTTTTCAAGGGAAATAGACAAATGTAACTGTGGCCTGCCTGTTCTGCCTCCAGATGACCATTAGCTTTAATAACATTTTTCTATAACAAGGTTCTGTAATCTGTATTTATATAGCAAATATTACAGAATATTTAAATATTATCTAATTTTGTCTCCTGTAACAATTGTAAAATAATATTTTGAGTACCAAGAAAAATAGTTTTCTATAAAGATTATAGAATAAGATTTTTAGTATCAAGCAAGTTAGTATGTAAATTACATGCTAAATCTTTTTGCTGCTATAAAATCAGACTAATAATGGAATGTTATAAAAAGTGAGACAGCTCTTAATGCACAATACTACCACAAAGTATATTGTTGAATTTTTTTAGGGACTTAAAAAGCTGATTGTGTAACCCTATCCCTGCTAAAAAAAATAAATACTGTAAGTGAATTAAAGTAGCTGTAATTAGCAGTATGGTACATTTGCATTCTGTATTCCATCTCACGTACAATCTGCAGCCTTAGGACAAGTAGCAATTGTAATATTGATCTTGGCTGTCTAAAGACAAGTTTATCATTAACTAATCTACAAATTCTCAAAAATCACAGTGGGAAGGGAAATGAAAAAAGATTATCCAATGTGCTTGAAGCATTATATTTTTGCAGCTTTGACAGTTAATCCATGGAATAATTATATATATGTAGAGTAATATGCACGTTGACCATAATTAAATGTGTTTTATTGCATACCAACTTTACCAGGCTTGCTGGGTTCTCCATTATTTTTGTGAAGTTAAATTTAAGAGTGACCAGAACCTTCAGACAGCACTGGAGTTAACAAGAAGATGCCTGATTGATGATAGAGAAATGCCTGTTAAAGTGGAAGCTGCCATTGCACTGCAAGTTTTGATTAGTAATCAAGAGAGAGGTACATTTTCTTCTTTGTCAAAGAAGCTGAGAATCAGGAAATAAAATAAAAGCAAATGTGAAACAATTTGTCAGCTCAAAATTTCATTGCATGTAGTTATTTAAACAATAAAAGAAAAATAGCCAGACTTGTGATAAATCAGTATAGAAGATATCAATTATAATCAGCTATATTTATTTCTCTGTTGATTGTTTTATTATATAAATGCAAGTCACCACTTTACTTAAAATTATTTTAAAAGAAAATTATACCCTGTCTAGTTGCAGTTGTTAGAAGAAGCCAAATTCATACCTAGGTTATTTTCTCTCAGTATGTACACCATTCTTTCTGTGTCCAATCAATCCAAAGTGTTGGAATTGTAGATCCTGCCACTGCCTCCATAGGTTGGAGGTTGGAACTTGCTTTACTTAGACCTGTGACACCACCTTGCCCAGCAAGAAACAGCTTTTTGTCCAAGCAAAACAGGTTGAGGTGGAATGCTACATCAGCATGCCATCATCACCAGGGCTACTGCAATATTCATAAAACTACAAGTTTAGGGTCAGAAACACAATCCCAAAGCTGACAGACCCTAGCTCTCATTGTGAGACCCACCCCATTGCCAACCTAAGAGTGGACTTCTAGATTAGACACATGAAGTCCACTTTCTTGTCACTCTTGTCACAAGATCAGAAGATGGTGTCCTGTTTTTAGCTACCATTGTGTTGTATATGACTGAGGTGCATGCTGGAAGGATATGAGTTTGTGACCTCTTATTTAGTCTGTTGGAGCCATTTGAATGCTGACCTTGAGGGCTGGAGCATCTTACAGCTAGGAAAGGGGAGAATTTTTAGAAAAAACAGACCCATGGGTGCAGACTGAGAAAAAAGAATGAGCCAGAACTGTGCCTCTTCTTTCCACATAAGAGAGAAATAACTGCAAATATTCAGGGAGGGGCATAGGGAAGCCCTGGAATTTTGCAGATTGTGTACTAATGAAATATTTATTCAAAATAAAGCCAGCCAGCAAAATTGATTAAATAATAATTGAAAGGGTCTTTTTCAGACCGTATTTTTTAAAAAAACAAATAAAAATGCTTAAGTCATTCAGTTTTGTTAATGATTATGAAAAAGTAATGTTTATTCTTGCTTCCTTTGCAGCTAAAGAATATATAACACCATTCATTAGACCTGTAATGCAGGCCCTTCTTCACATAATTAGAGAAACTGAGAATGATGATCTTACCAATGTAATTCAAAAAATGATCTGTGAATATAGTGAAGAAGTTACTCCTATAGCAGTTGAGATGACGCAGCACTTGGTAAGTCTGGGCCCAGTATATTTTTAATTTTTATTTATTTATTAGATATATTTGCTGTCCATCTCATCTATTTTTGTGTTTTCATTGGTTGTATTTGTCTCCAGACGTTTCCTAAATATTTGTGTAGGATGTTAGCTGTGTAGGATGAGTCACAATGGCACAGTGGTTAAAGTGCAGTACTGCAGGTACTTCTCCTGGCTGCCGGCTGCCTGCAATTTGGCAGTTCAAATCTCACCAGGCTCAAGGTTGACTCAATGTTCCATCCTTCCGAGGTGGATAAAATGAGGACACAAATTGTTGAGGACAATATGCTGACTGTAAACCGTTTAGAGAGGACTGTAAAGCAGTATATAAGTCTTAAGTGCTATTGCTAGCTAAAGTTTGACTGCTACCCAGGGATAATAGGTACATTTATACTCTGGTAAATTTAATGTGTATCTTAATAGGTACATTTACACTCAGGTAAACTTGTGTTTGTGGTTAAGTGCAGCATATGTATCCAATAACACGGCATAATGAAAGTATCAAGAAGTACCCTTTTGAAATACTAAAAATTCTGCTTTCATTTGAGATCACCTAAATTAGGAAAGGAGAGGTGCTTCGTTAATGACAGTGCTCTGTTGAGTGTCTGTTTTGAATGGTTTGCAAAGACATGCTACTTTGATAACTCTCAATGAGCCACAAAATACAAACCCCGCATCAACTTTTTGATGCCATAAAACAAAATCCAAATTCTCTTGATTATAGTTTGTCCCTCTCACACAGGCATGTTTATTTATAATGTAAATATGCATACATTCTTGGAAACATAGTCAGATTTCTTTACTCCCTGGTTCTTTACTATCCCTTTCTCAAACTGTATAACTTTTAGTTGATATTTTTTTGTGTTTTTAGGCAATGACTTTTAACCAGGTGATTCAGACAGGACCAGATGAAGAAGGCAGTGATGATAAAGCAGTAACAGCTATGGGTATCTTGAATACTATTGATACACTTCTTAGTGTAGTTGAAGATCACAAAGAGGTAAGGATTTTTGTGGTTATTTGCAACTGTATTCGCCCCCCCCCTCTCCTATTTTAGTAGGATGCTCTCTCTATAAAATATTTTAAATTACTCATAGTCTTCATATTAAAAATCAATATTAATTAAATGTTTTTAATTTCATCCCAAAAAACCCCCTAAAATATCAAAGGTAGATAACCTTTTATTTTAAAATTTGTAATTATTTCTTTAGTTAAGTCTAATCTAATCTTCAAAATAAAAGTCAAAAGCTGATTCTTCTTTTTATCCTGCAAAAAAATCTATCAATGGCCTCTAGGTTGCATGAAATTTAATCAAATTATTATCTCTGTGCAAAGCATTTTGCCATCTTGGCTAACTCTGTTAATTTCAAAATCCATTCCTTCCATTGTGGGTATATACTCTTTCTAACTTTAAGCATATAACAACCTTACTGCCATAGCCATATATTAAAAAGTCCCATATTCTTTTTCCACCTGTATATCAGCTTGAAACCAGAAAGAAAAGTTTCAGGTTTCAGTATTGGATCCATTTGCTAGAATAAAATAGCTTCTGACAAATTCTGCACCTGGACTGAAGAAAGAAATAAAACCAGAAAGATAAAAGCAAATTTAAAATGTTGTTCTGAAAAGGTGCAAAAATTTATAGGTATTATGTAAGGAAGGGAAAAGAATTAATATGGATCATGGGGGATGGATCACATACTACCATATTTTTCAGAGTATAAGACGCAGCTTAGTTTTTGGGGAGGAAAATAGGGGGGGGAAATCTGCCTACCGGGTATTCATTTGGCTAGCATCCTTAGTCTGATACAGTTTCAGCACATTAGTTTGCTGGTTTTTATCTCCTGCTTGGGGATAAAAAACAGCTTCTAGAGCACAACTGATCTTTGGAGAGAGAAGCAATGAGAAAAGCAGGCAAACCACGGAGATCGCTTCACTGCTAGTGCCTTGTTAGGGCTGAAAAAAAGCTTCGAAAAAACTACATTCGGAATATAAGACGCACCCAAATTTTCAGCCTCTTTTAGGAGGGAAAAAAGTGTGTCTTATACTCCGGAAAATACGGTATTTGAATCTCAAAATTGGATTTTCCACTTTAAAGTACACAATCATATATATCTTGTCTTAACATTTAAATATTCTGTTTCAGATTACTCAGCAGTTAGAAGGTATCTGTTTACAAGTAATTGGAACAGTTCTACAACAGCATGTTTTAGGTAATTTTTTTTAGTTGTATTAAATAATATAAACATATTAAACAATCTACTACTAATTTGATCAAAGTCACACTTAATACTTTGATCTGTTGCAGAATTCTATGAGGAAATCTTCTCCTTGGCTCACAGTCTGACCTGTCAGCAGGTCTCTGCACAGATGTGGCAGCTTCTGCCTCTGGTCTTTGAGGTATTTCAGCAGGATGGTTTTGATTACTTTACAGGTGAATGAATACATTATGCCTTGTGGAGCTCATGTTACAAAGGGGAAATGATATGACATAAACTGAAATGCAAATGCATATCGTATTTTTTATTTTTATGAATGTTAAGAGGTGGAAACATAACATTTGTAGCATTATTCTTTTTAAATACAGATATGATGCCACTGTTGCATAATTATGTGACTGTTGATACAGACACGCTCCTGTCTGACACAAAATACCTAGAAATGATCTACAGTATGTGTAAAAAGGTAGGTAACCCATTGTATCTTCCTCAGAATAATATTGCATGCCTTTTTAAAACTAGGAAAAAAGAGATGTGACTATTATGCGTGCTATGATTTTAATTCATCTTCTAGAGAAGATTTAAATGGCTGCAGTCAAATGTGCATAGTATATTATCTATGTCTAGTGATAAAGTCCATTTGCGTTCTGCACATAGACTATATTGCTCACATACAATCTGCAGCCAAAGAGCAACATGAGATCATAGTACTGGTCTAATGATGTTGAAAAACAAGTTTACCATTGTCCAGCCTCCAAATTCTCAAACATAATGGTGTGAAATGAGGTAGAATTTTGAAACACCTTTGTTACTATTTTGTTAACTGCTGCATGAATGGTAATTCCAGGTGTGCTGTCAATAACCCAAGCAGAGCTAAATGTTAGGAATCTTTTAGAAAGTTGGGCTTTTTAAAATCTGGCAGACAAATCCTTTCCTTTAAACAAGAATGAGTCTGAGTTCTCATATTGGCTTTCATTTCTTTTGAAAGAATTCTTTTGATCATTGCTATTAAAATGAACAGTCTCTCTGTTTTGATTGGAGATTTCTTGTATAGACTGTGTTTTTATACAGGAGGATTTTCAGTCTGGAGCCAAATTCCAACATGGTAGATTAATTCAGTTTTCACTTCTGCCTTCCCCCATCACCTTTATTATATATAGTACAGGTAGTTCTCTATGATAGTAATGGAGCTTGCCTATTATGGTTGCAAGTGAAATGGCCTCACTTAATAACCTCCAGCCCTGTTGTCCCTGATGCAACTGTTAGACATACAAGTGGAGCATGGGGTATCCCAGGGGGAAGGCCTAGCGCAATCCCAAACCCATCTGCCCCACACTTCCCAACGCTTCCTTCACCTAGGTTCCCCACAGCCCTTGGGCCTGTTCCCCCCCCCCCACATCCCCTCAGGCCTTTTCCCCCCTCCCACCAATCGGGTCAAGTAGGGCTTAGATCTCCACCCTCCATCATCCATTGCACACTTTTTTTTTTGATGGCCCCTGGAGCTTTCCTCAGCACTGTGCAGACCACTTTATGGAAGCAAAATGAAGTGGTTTGTTCCCGGGCTGCATGCCAACCTCTTGGAAGCTCTCACCATTTTTGCATGACCATGAGGATTATGGACACACTGAAAATGGCTGCTGCTTTTGGGAAGCTGCTGCATGGCCCAGGGACGAACCATTCAATTCTGCTTCCCTAATACTGCGCGCATAGTACTATGCAGACTTCCGGAGATTTCCTCAGCATTGTGCAGATCAATTTACAGAAGCAAAATGGAGTGGTTTCCTGGGTCATATGGCACCCTCCATTAAGTGTATAAAACTGACAAGTCACATTCAGATCTTTTACTGGTTTGTATTTGTGGAGTCTTAACTGGAATTTGGCTTTAAAAATGTGAAATAATATTCCTTTTTTTAAAAAAGAATGTACTTTTTTCATATAGTTATGTAAAAAGATTTAGTCATTTATATATTGATGAAACTTAAGAGATGACAACATTTTTATATAGCTGAATTTATTTATAGAAAGTGATAATACTGAGTACGAAAATTCATAGTTCATGTATTTCCTAGGTCCTTACAGGTGTAGCAGGAGAAGATGCAGAATGTCATGCAGCAAAACTATTAGAAGTTATCATTTTGCAATGTAAAGGCCGTGGAATCGATCAGGTAAGTTAAATAATGTGTCATCAGAAATCTGTGGAGATGGTCAGTTACTTCCCATCTGTATGTAAATAAACACTTATAATAAATACATGTCCTCTAAATATAGCAATATTATAATGTTCTGAGTTTTCTGTTTTATTCCTGCTCATTTGAAAAGAAAACATCAAGTTTTCAATGTAAATAAAGGAAAGAATTTTAAAAAGCTTGTTCCATCAAGAAGGAATACAAAAGCTGAAACATTCATTATCATGGGCATAATGGGTGTTTGAATTAAAAAAAACTACAAGGTAACACTTTCTTCATATAACTTTATTGATTTTAAAAACAATTATACACTTAAAAGATAAACAGGAAAGTAAGCTTTCTTTAAAAAAAAGCTCAGTAAAAAAATAAAATGGGGGAGAAGGGGGAAATTGTTAAAAAGTCTTCTGACTTTCTTTGGAACAGATATAAAATTAAAAGAATATATGAAACTCTTATTAAAGTTTAGACACTTGTCTATGTTATTTCCACAGTCCCATATAATTCTAATCATCAAATCCCAAAATCAACTTTTCATTTCTTTCAGTTTCTCACAAGGTCCAAAAGTGGGTATCCAAGTAGAAATAACATTTGTCTTAAGTCTTTTCTTTCATCAAAGCTGTCAATTTATCAGTTGTCATGTACCAACAATTACTTATTTTATAAAAATTCTTTTTAAAATTATGATTCATTGTATATTTCAACTCTTTCTTCCAGATACTTGCCCATTAGTTCAACTGTAATTATTTCCCCCCTTTTTTTGCCTGTTTTATCATACAGATAGTTCTCAATTTACAACTACAATTGGGTACAAAATTTCTATTGCTAAGTGAGACAATTGTTAAGTGAATTTTGCTCCATTTTATGCCCTTTCTTGCCACAGTTATTAAATGAATCACTACAGTTGTTGAGTCACTAACACAGATCTTAAGTAAATCTGGTTTCTCATTGACTTTGTCAATCAGAATAGAGCAGGAAGGGACCTTGGAGGTCTTCTAGTTCAACTCCCTGCTCAGGCAGGAGACCCTATACCATTTTAGAACAGTGGCTGTCCAGTCTGTTCATAAAAACCTTAAAAACTTTGCTTGTCAGAAGATTGCAAAAGGGGTTCACATAATCGCATGCAGGACACTGCAACCTTCATAAATATGAACGAGTGGCCAAGTGTCTGAATTTTGATCACATGACCATAGAGATGCTGCAACGGTTATAAGTATGAAAAACACTCAAGTCACTTTTTTCAGTGCCATTTTAACTTCAAACAGTCACTAAGTGAACTGTTGTTAAATTAAGGATTATCTGTACAATCTTGTCCTCTTTATTTTCAGTAAAAGTTTATCTTAGCAATAATATCATCTGTACAGAACTATACATCAAATTCAGTGTTTTTATCTAACTCCCAAACATTTAACTTTTTTCTCAATTTTAATATCAGGTTTCTTCATCAAAACACCTTGATTAGGGGTGAAATGCTACCGGTTCAGACCAGTTCAGGCGAACCGGTAGTAATAAATGCTACTGGTTCAGGCGAACCGGTATTTCTGACGATCAGCTATGCCGTGTGATATATATTTGCTAGAAAGCAGGAAATCCTGCTTTCTAGAGAATCTAAATCATACAGCACAGCTGTCCCCCCCCCCCCCCCCCCGCTCTCCTTAACTTTGAAGACTCAGGCTTCTTAATCCTCCTTTTTCAGTGCTGTGCGGTAGTGCCTGAGGTGCGCCTGCGCGCAAAGCATGTGTTTGGTGCGCATGCATGCGTGAAGCAAACCGGTAGCGAAGCAGTAGCAGACTTCAGAGCATTTCACCCCTGACCTTGATCTTGTGCAGTCATATTTTTAACCAACATCTTTGTTTTCTATTAATTTTAAAACCTTCTGTCACATCAAATTCTTTTCAGTTTTTTCATCTAATTCAGTCCTTCTCAAAGGCTCCTGTAAAATGCAAACTCAATCATTAACAAAAGCTCTCAATTTAAAAGTCTGGTTTTCATTTTTAGGCCAATTATTTTCTTATCTGCTCTAATATTTCTATACCTACAAAGACACCTCCTCCTGTACAGCTAGCATTTCCCCTGCAATTAATTGTTGACTGTTGCCAGGAGCAAATTCCTTACCGCCTCTTTGGCGGTCAAGTAAGAGGGGCAACAAGTGGAGAACTAATATCACAAATAATCTCCACTAATCCTAAGAAGAAGTCTTGGAGGGGAGGGGAGATAGAGAAAGAGCAGATCTGAGTAACTGGAAGTGTCTTCTGTTGTACTAGAGAGTTTAAAAGTTAAGAATTTAATACATGCAGTGCAAGATAAAGATATTGAAAATCAAATGTTTATCACTACAGCGATGTGTTAATATTTGCCTCTGACTTTAGTAACATTTTTCCGTCCGTCTCTTTAGTGTATACCCTTGTTTGTGGAAGCTGCTTTAGAACGATTAACTAGAGAAGTTAAAACAAGCGAATTACGGACAATGTGCCTCCAGGTTGCCATAGCTGCTCTCTATTACAATCCTCATCTACTTCTAAATACCTTGGAAAATCTTCGCTTTCCCAATAACGTGGAGCCTGTTACAAATCACTTCATTACACAGTGGCTTAATGATGTAGACTGTTTCTTGGGGTAAGCTTGTTGTCTCTGGGATTATGGCTTTAATTCATTAAATTCTAATGTAGAGAGAAGGGATTATATAGATACAACAGGTGCCTCTTTTCCATCTAGCTTCTTCAGGGAATGTGGGCTAGATCTATATGAAGAAATGTAACAAGGTCGATTGGGCATGCACATTGATCTTTCAGCCATGCCCTTTATGAATATCTCAGGTAGAGTCCGTGGCATCTTTCCTAAAACCAAAAGTAATATAACGTTTTCCTCCTTATTTCAGACTTCATGACAGAAAAATGTGTGTTCTAGGCCTGTGTGCATTGATTGATTTGGAGCATGTACCACAGGTTTTAAATCAGGTTTCGGGTCAGATCCTGCCAGCTTTCATACTTTTATTTAATGGGTTAAAAAGGGCATATGCTTGCCATGCTGAACATGAAAATGACAGCGATGACGACGACGATGAAGCAGAGGAAGATGAAGAAGCAGGTAATGTAATGGTCTTTCCTGTAAAGATGATAAGCAACATTACTGATGTAGCTGTAGAAAGTTTTTCAGGAAATTTTTGGTGTGTCTTATGGTTTTTTCCTGTCTTTGTTTCATCTTTGCCTTTTAATTGGACTGAAGTATTTATGTACAACTCATTTTTCTTATAGTACTCTATTCTCTGTTCTGTTTGGGTCTCTTACATATGAATAATTGGTCCTTTGCCATGTCTAAGAATATGCAAAAGCTACCATTGCTAGAATTTCTCGGGGGTGTTTCATTTTCTTCTCTGGACAGAAATGACTTGGCTGTTCACAGACTTACCGGTTTTTGTTTTGGAATTTAATTTTTCAGATTAGAAAGATCTTTCCATTTGAAGATTAATTTCAGAAAGGTGATGGAAAAATCAAAATGGAAATTTAGTATGGTCAAGGAAACACATATTTCATTTTCTGGAACTATTTGTCCCTAGAATATTTTCTAGGGACAAATTTTGTATGCTTTGTTTTTATCTTGGCTGTGCACCGCCCTGAGTCCTATTGGAGAAGGGCGGTATAGAAATTTAATTAATAAATAATAATAATAAATAAATAAATAAATAGAATATAGGCATTGATTGCATATACCTAGTCATATTTGTTGTGCTCTTCAGTCTGTTCCTATATTTTTTAATCTTGAAAATAAAACTAAGCAGACTTACACTGTTGAATCATTGGCCCAATTTGTTTAATGTTCTTTTTTTTGTTATATCTGGTTTGCAGTTATCATTTGGTAGCTGAATAATATAGTATCATATGATTAAATTTGTGTTCTATTCCTAACTTGGTGTATTAAAGACCATGTGATTTAAACCAAAAACGTGGAATTTTATGCAATACAAATAATAGAATAATTAAACGGGAAGAGTCTAGATGAAATTTTTGAGCACTCTTAAAACCCATTGCTTGGTTACAGAAGAACTGGGAAGTGATGAAGATGATATCGATGAAGATGGTCAAGAGTATTTAGAGATTTTGGCAAAACAGGCTGGAGAAGATGGCGATGATGAGGATTGGGAAGACGATGATGCTGAAGAGACAGCACTGGAGGGATATTCAACTATTATTGATGATGAAGATAACCCTATTGATGAATATCAAATATTTAAAGCAATTTTTCAGAGTAAGAGCTGCCATAGTTTTCATTGCAAATCTGTATTCCTGTGTCTGCTGAAATATGTATTATCAATGTGTAGTGCTTGTAAAAAATATGGGAACTCAAGGGATGCATGTAATTTGAAAAGACTCAGAGGAACATTCAAGGAATTTGAAAAGCTACAGCCTAAGCATTCAGCAAATCTGAAATGAGTCAGGTTTGATGGAAGTCAATAGTTTAGCAGAATTATTAGTAGATACTTCACTTTTTATTGTCAAAATTTGACTATCAGAGATAAATATTTAGATTATCTTGGCTAGAGCAAATGTTTTTATTGCTATAGCAAATAGTTCTTACAGCGTCAGATTACTGGTTGTGTTTCCTTTGGAAATAGCTAGGCAGAAAAGTCTATAAATGACATTGGAAGGAAAGAACCACCTTGGATTTTTCAATTTTGGTAAGAAAAACTTTAGCAATTGGGGGAAGTAAGATATACGTACATATAAGAATAGAAACAAGTAGATTTTGTTCTCAGCAAAATTGAATAACAGTTAACTCTTACTTAATATTTCTCTGGTGATAATATTTTGTTTGAATTTTTTTCTGACATGTCTGCCTTATCAAAGAATAGAAGAGAGAAAATAATTTCAAGTGATGATATATATTGTATTATTTCTAATCAACAATTGTAGATGCATTCCACCTAACAATTATTAAATAGATTTTGATCTACTCTGTAATAAAGTCGAATTTCAGTTGTACATTAATATGCAGATCAAGCTAATTTCATAATAAATTGAAAAAGGATATCTCAAAACATGTATAAAAATAAGTTTTATTGGATTGATACATTTAATTATACATTCTTTCCCCATAGGATTAAAGACTGTTTAATTAATACTATTTATTTTATTTATAAAACTTTCCATAAAAATAATCCGAGCAGGATACTTAATTATAATAGCAAAAGCAAAATTAGAACATCAGCAAGAAAGCAAAGAACAGACTAAAATCTACCAATAGTAATCAAGAGGCATCTAAAAATAGTAAATTAAGATTGATTTTCATAGAACTTTCCAAATGCTTACAGATCTATATATTTTGCAGCACTTCAGAATCGTAACCCAGTATGGTATCAAGCATTGACACGTGGTCTTAATGAAGATCAAAGAAAACAATTACAGGACATAGCAACTTTAGCAGATCAGCGAAGAGCTGCTCATGGTATGCATTTTAATTGAATTTTACATGGGTATATTAAGTTCATGTCATTAGTATTTTGCTGAGGGATATGCTTCATCTTACCTCCTCTTTAAATTAAGAAAATCTTGATCACCAAAGTTGGAGCCAAAAAGAATTGGCTAAATTTAACTCTTCCACTAGAAGGTTGGTTTAGACTTCTTCCCCTCTTATGAAGGAATCCCCTTTTTTAGTTTTAACTCTGCATCTTCAAGATGGGTGACTTTTTCCTCAGCTCTATATTAGAGTTGACAAGAAAAAGAAAAGAGCAATCACATGTCCTTTTCATATGGCCTTCAGAACAAGCAGTGCAGAAGGGTCAAAGAATCCTTTTCAGAAGGACTTTGCAAAACCAATGTAAGCCTGGTAAAGTTACTCAGAGAGGTTTGGTCAGCAATCAGCTTCTCAGATCCCTGTAGAAGAAGCCACCAAGTGCCAAAGAAAGACATTCAAACTCTAGAGGAGCAACAAGGTAATACCCAAGAAAAAAGTTTCAGTGAACACTAGAGAGAATGAAAGTCACTGGTCTTCCAACTCCTATGTAACAAAGAGGAAGAAGCAGCATCAACTGATCATAGGAAGCAATAAAAGACGTTGGTTCCTTGAGCACTAGTGCCATTAAAAAGCAGTCCACGGCAGCCACAGCTGATGTGGATTGATGTGCCAATAGAACCATGGTTTACTGTCATAAGGAAGCAAACTCCTATACCTCTTTCAGGGAAGATTATGCACCCTATCTCACAAGTCAAACTGAAGGCAGATGAGTTTCTAGAAGCAATTCCAGAAGTAGAGAAGAGGGTTACAAAGCGAGTGCTGTACTAGACTACAGGTGCCACCCATTGTGACAATTCTCTAGCAGCCTTTCCTTCTGCACGAATAGATCTGGTCTGCTCCAAGTTTAGTAATCCTTCTGTAGCCTGAGGAAGTTGTTAGCATCATTAGCAGTGATTTGCTGACAGTCAACATGATCAGCTGACTGCCAAGAATGTAGGCACAGCAAGATCCAAGCCTTAAGGCTACATTGAGGATATGTGAATTTGACATGTCTGCCCTCTGTCTCTTGCTAAAAATGGCAATACCAAATTGATAAGTGCTATATGATATGTTAGAGAAGAGGGGGAGGAAACATTCTGGTACAGCAGGAAACATACAAGATACAAAATTCATTCCAGTAGACATCCCAGAACCTTAAGAAAGAACGTGGCCCTGTTCAGTCTGAATTATGTAGATCATGAGAATAAACTCTTACCTTGCTATCTCACCAAAACAAAATATATAGTACTAACCAGCTTATGGGGAGCCAGTCATCTGTACTGGGCAGAACCTTGTTATCTGGGTTTGGCCATTCTGCTGTTTTTGTGTAACCAGCAAAACCCTATATCTTGCAAGGAATATATTTATTGCAAAAAAATCACAGGACATTAGAAGCCTGGTACCTGTGGGATTCTGGCTGAGAAGGCCAGCCTTTAGAGAATTATTTTATGCAACCTAGACAATCACCCCATAACCTGTTTAATGCTGTCTTATTTCTATAATATGTAACCTAAGACATTCAACTAGAAGCTGCCTATCCAGTATCTGCTGGCATAAAGGGATGGGTTGTAACTCGTTTGTAAAAGTTCTAACTGGTTGCAGAAAGTTCCAGGTGCAATTGTAAGTAGCTCTAGTTTACAAAATAATGTACGCGATTTCTGAATGAGACCCTGGAGAGTTGCTACCTGTCAAAGTAGGTATTGATATTCATACCATTCTTCAGGAGGTCATTCTTCCACTTCAAAGGTTTGTGGGTCTCTGCTTAGCTGTTACATTCAGTTTCCAACGAGAACCCCTTTGAAGTAAGCAGTAAACTTTCAGATTTTGCAGTTTCTGAACTATGAGATTTCTGGCAGATGGATCAGGAGATCGCTGCAAATACTTTGCAATTTGGGATTTATCTTCTTGACAGGGGAACAGTTTCCCCATATCCTTATCATGTACCACTTCCTCAGAGATGTATGCCTCCTTTCACTGCCAGTCATATATCATTTTCTGTCACAGGACTTGTCCTTCAGGCCCAAACAAGGGTTCCTATTGGACCCTTCAGACATATCCCATTAACACCTGCATTTTGAAATAAACTCCTTGGTAGCCATAATCATTGCTAGAAGAGTGGGGACACTAGAGGCTTTCTTAGTGGAAGGCAGACTAGTGCTAAAGTAGATCCATGTTGCACACTCATGTTCAATTCAAACTCCATCCGCATAAGAAACTGTAATTTCCAAATTTAAGCCTAGTCTCTTGTACTAAAGAATGAATCTGTCTCAAATTAGATGTGTACTTTGTGCTAAAATATTTCTCAGGTCCTCTCTGTAAGGTCGATAGCCTATTGTCTTTGAAAACACAATCAAATACTGTATCAGACAGGACAAGGTGTATGTTGCTGTGGAATTCTCAGTCAGAAAGAATCAGCACTCATGTCATCCCAGCTCCCTGTCAGAGGGTCAGCCACATCTGCAGCTCAAATTGTGTAAATAATTATATTTGCAAGAACACTGTGGTTTGCAACAAAATAAACTGATGGGATTAAAATGTACATCTTCATTCTCAATTATTTAAAGATGAGGATGTCTGAAGACATTTCTCTTAAAAACATTGTGGATAAAGAAACAGCTTAAAATCTATTTCTTTATCAATACTTTTTTGGGAGAAATCTTCACTTTTTAATCAAATTTCTATATTGTTCATCACACTTGTGTGACTCTGATTTTGATTTTGAATTTTCTTTTAAATCAGGGCACTTTTTTGAACCAGCCAGATTCAATACGATGAGTATGATAATTTTAAGTTTTTACTTCTTTCTCTTTAAGGCTGGAAAAGTATATGTAATATTTTACTCATTCTTCTGCTTGTTATTTTATAGAACACTTCTCTTTTAATATGCAGTTGTAAGGAACTGATTTTTGAGGATCTCTTGAGGTATTTTTAACAGAACTTTTTGTTGATTGTGAATAACTTATCTTACAGAAACAACAACACTAAATAATTTTATCTTCTCTCTTTTAGAATCCAAAATGATTGAAAAACATGGTGGATATAAATTCAGTGCTCCAGTTGTGCCAAGTTCATTTAATTTTGGTGGTCCAGCCCCAGGAATGAATTGAATTATCACTACTTTTCCTCCTACTGTGTGATTGTAGTGAAGAGCTTGTGTTCCTCCCAATATAGTGGTTCCAGAACTGGTTCATGTTATCTACAGCTCACGCTAAATGAATTGGTAGATTGAATATTTTAAAAAGAAAAAACAACCCAGGAGTGGGACTTGATCATGCAACCTAATACTGGAAAGAAGGTTTTATGAAGATAGGAAGAACCTGAAACTTGAGCTTCAAATGACACACTGTGGATATTGGAAATCAAGAGGAGATGTCTTGAAGGCAGCTTCCTTTCTATGAAGAAAATAGGCATTGGCTGCAGGACTGTTGGAAAGGTCTCATTTACAGTACACAAGCTTGAAGGCCAATTTAATTTTTACAACTGTGGGACTGAGTATTTGCCCAATTTTCTTTTTCCTCCCCCAATGGGTATCTATTCTTTTAATGTACATAAAGGCAATTGGATGGCCTTACTTAACATTTCATTATTTCCATTTATCAAGATTGTTCATATGTAGAATATCGGACACTTATTGTAGCACTACATAACTGATAAAATCTGTAAATGATTTAGCACTTTCATATTGAAACAAGCCTGCTAGCCTATGTACAAAATTAGCAAAATGTTTGTTTATAAAAAAAGGGATGTTCTGGGGAAAATTTCAGGTTATTAATTTAAAACTAGCAGTTTTGTACCTGGTGAACTGTGGTGCAGCTACCACTGGTTGTGACTTGAATTTGATATGTAAAGAAGGGGCTAGTGGTATTTCATTGCTGCTAAAAAAGAAAAAAATGGCAACACTCTGTGTCCTTTGTTTTTTTTCTTAAAGCTGTCATTGTACAAATGGAAAATTGAAAATAGAAATCTTCATGTTTAAATGCTGAGTGGAAATTCATTTTCTCAGCAACGTGAAAACTGACATGAAGTTCTGCTTTTCCAGGAGTGTATTTTGATGCGTGGTGAAACATCTACATAGGCAATCTATTAGAATATAATTTGGCTAACTTGGGCTGGAGTCAATTAAAGTTTTATTCCCATATATGGGAATATGGTCAGAATTTATTACATTTCAAGGATCTCCTCTCATCTATGTCCCTTCCCACTTTAGGATGCCCAAAATCCAGGATTTTTTACCTGATCCATTTAGAACAGTAGTCCAGTTTATGCAGCTGTCTAAGAATTAAATAAATCTTGTCAATAATGCAGCCTCTTCATGCAACATTTAAACTGTTTTTAACCATAGATTTCTATTTGAAGATAAGATCCTTTGATTATCTGTTTGGAAAAAGTCAGAATCCTAACTTAATTTGAAATTGAAGGTGGTGTCATAATACAACCCCTTGATCTGAAATAGGGATCTGTGGTCAGAGACTTATAGCCATGAAAGGGCTGCACCTCAGAAAAAGTCTCATTAATATTTTGAGTTAAACTTAGATATGGTCATCTAGACATGGTCTCAGGGTTACCAAGTCCCATCTTTGAAGCAACAGTTTTATCAATGTCAGGTGATATAATAGCATTTTAGCTATACTCTAGAAGACTTCTTCCTGCTGGGACCACTATTGAAGAGTGACTTGGTGAAGAAGGGAACATCAAATAATGTGACTGGGCTGGCTTAGTGCTCCATCTACAAAATAAATACATAAGATAAAATCATAGATGCTGAGTTTCTGATCTTGCAATAAGATCATTGGTGTCAAATCTTTTAAGCAAAATGTTTTATTTCTCCTGGCTGTTTTTATATTAATGGTCATCTGCTGTTATACCTGGTATTGAACAAGCTACCTTAATTTAAATGTAAGTCTCCAAAACTTTAAAGACAGGTTAAATGAACTGAATTTATATATATAAAAATAAAACTGAAATGAAACATATATATTATGATATTCAAAAATGCAATCTTCAGAAAACCAATTTGTGTGATGAGTATTTGTTTTCTATGTATTAGTGGGGGCAGACTGGAGTGTTGACTTCCTAGTGGACTATCTACCTCTCAATTGTCTCAAGCTTGATACAAGAGCCCCTGAACTGTTTTTGACTGAATACTGATTCAGTTAAAGACTTCTCTAATTCTATAGCTAGTAGCTAGAGGAGCATTTCCCATTCCGTTTTGGGTAGATTTAAAGTGAGTTCTTGTATCTGTCTGTAAATACTTTTATGCTGTTCTGTTTTCTGAGTTTATGTCATTGGACAGACTTCTCCTTTTTTCCCCCAGGTATTAAATATGTCTTACTACAGTTGTAGATTTTTCTTAGTTCAGGCAAGATTAAAATACACATATCAGAATAGGACAATGTGGGTTTCCAGAAAAAGATTTTGAGCCTAATCTTAAAAATGAACACTAGAAACATTAATTTATGAATATTTTAAATAATAGATTGAATTTTTAGTATAAATTTTATATTAAAAGTGAACAATTGTTCAATACTAGTTGCACCAGAACTCTTAAGTAAAACTTATAAATCACCATGTCTAAATCATTGTAAATTGGGAAGTTTTACTTCAGGAAAAGTAAATCCCTATTTTTTTGCTGGCCTATCTGTATGTTTATCACATTAGCATTACATACCTAATGATTTTGCAATGGTTTATAATTAAAACCCCTTCGAAGCACTCACTGGGTAAGCAGTAAACTTTCAGATCTCTCTTAAAATGCCGTGCCATTTTCAGTAACAATTACTATATAAACTGAATTTTACAAATGGTTATATACTCTGATAAATCACAATTGAATTTCCTTTCTAAATGTTCTTTAATAAAGGCTAAAATGAATGAAGTTTATTCCTCACAGACAACATGTTAGGTTTCATAAATGCTATCTGAAAGGATACAATCCAGAAAGAAGCTTCCAGTTTTTCATGATATTTAAACTTGGATAGTCAAAAAGTGCTACATGCAAATTTTACAAAACTTGGCAATTCATATAACTAATTTAGAATGTCATAATTTATGAACACTTTCCCCAAGTGATATTTTTACTATACCTACATTTAAAAAAAATACTCTATACAAAGTAGTTCAATGAGAACTATACTCATTTGACCACATTATGCTTATAAAAATTGCATGAAATGCAGTGGTAGTATTACTGTACTGCTTTCCTTGCAGGAATTTGCATAGAAAAAATTTCCAATACAGGAAAATTTTTAATATTCCTACCCTGTGGAAAAGATGGCCTGAGCAGAAAATAAGTGATATTGGTCATTAAAAACCTGTATTGTAGATTTGGGAGTAAAATCTTGTGTGTGGTAAAATAATGACTGAGTCATTACTGATAATTGGTTAAATATGCAGAAGGTGCAAATGACTGCAGATAGAAAAGGAGAATCAGCCTTTGTATGAGACTAGCTATATGCTAATAAATATTTTTGTCACACCTTTCATTCCTAGCAAGTTTTGTTTCCCCTTTGTTTTTCCACTAAGTTACTATCTTTTGTTCATCTTCCATTATTTTTCTTAATGTGTCTGATATTGGAGGGATAAATGTTAATATGCAGGAGAATGATTTCTTGTGCAGATAGTTCATTTTATAAATGATTGCCCTATTTTAATCCATTAATTTAACAATTAAGTACTACCATTTCAGCCCTGAGTTTTTTTAGCACGTGCTATACCCCAGATGCATGATACACTTATTGTGGAAGAGGTAATCTCAAGAACAGTTGATAAAAACCAAAACTAAATCCCAGATTGCCAATATGTGGAGGGTAGGCAATCACATTTTTGTATTTTTTTTCTTTTTGGAAGCAGGGATTACTTTAAATTCAGTCATCTTTCAGATAAAATTCCCATATTTTCTTAAGATCTTCATTGATATACTTATGACTCCAAATTAAAACAATCAGTTCTAAATGGCCACTAGGCAAAAAAACAAAAACTAAGATGCAAGAAGCAACAATAACTTGAGACACAAATGTGGGGGATTCCGTGGTAGTTAAATTGCTATTTTTAACTTAGCATTTTATAGCAATAGCATTTAGACTTATATACCACTTCATAGTGCTTTTACAGCCCTCTCTAAGCAGTTTACAGAGTCAGCATATTGCCCCCAACAATCTGAGTCCTTGTTTTATCCACCTAGAAGGATGGAAGGCTGAGTAACCTTGAGCCGGTTAGATTTGAACTGCCAAACTGCAGCTAGCAGTCAGCTGAAGTAGCCTGCAGTGCTGCACTCTATCCACTGTACCACCTCTGCTTTTATTTTATCCAATACATTTGCAGAAATTTCAGAACTAGCTGATGGTATCCTTTGCTTTGTTTGCATGGAGTTGCTATGCATATAGTTAGCATGGGGAAAATTAATACTAGCAACAAAAAAGCTTTCTCCATGATGCAGTAATATAAGCTAAAATAATAGAGTTGCAGTCTTGTCATACCAATTGTTCTTTCTCACATTAATAGTTCTTAAATAAAAAGCACAACCTACATTTCCATATTTTATAATACAGTACTTTCCTAGAAATGCACACTGCACTTATTGGTTAGTAATCTTCAGTGTATTTGTGAAGAGTGCAATAACTTGTACTGGCATCTGAAACAGTGTCAAATCAACAATTCTATTTCAATTAAAATAGTTGTAGTGCTCGTTCACTATGAAGCAATGTTTTTGGAGACCAAGGAATAAAGAATAAGGCAGAACTGTATATACAGAACTGAGTTCTGTATAGAAAAGATTGCCAGCATTCTTTTGTAAGCTATTCCAGGAATGTCAAGTCATTATGAGGCTAAACCAGAGATGGGATTCAAATCCCAGCATTACTGGTTTGCTATCGGTTGTGTGCGGGGCGGGCACTCTTGCTTTGCGAGCATGCAGCGCTTCTGCGCATGTGCAGAGCGTTTTTGATGACATCTGGGCGGAGCCTCTTGCTGCCACCACTACCGGTTCATCAGAACTAGGCTGAACCGGTAAAAACCCACCCCTGGGCTAAACCCATCAAAAATGTAACTAGACAATAAGGGCCTAACATGACAGATGGCTATTGATACTTAAGACATGTTTTAATTACCAATTACTTATCAAACAAACAATCCAAGTTCCAATCAGGTCTGATTGCTTAACCTTTTAGAAGAACCCAAGTATTGCCACCTAATTGGGAACATTTTGATACAAACCTATGTTAAAATATAGGAAAAGTGAGGTATTTCCAGTTTGAAACTATTAGGGCAGTTAAAAGATCACAAAAATGCATGTGTTTAAAATCTATTCATTAAGCAAGATTGCAAAAAATGAGGTGGTTTGAGGAAGTAAAAAGGATTACAGTATGTTGAATTCAACTTGTTTTCTACTGATCTTTTTATCAAATACACAATGTAAAAATGAAAAAAAGGCACTCATCCAGGAATCATATCCACCACTAAACCAGGTAATCTAATTTGAAGGGTTGCAGCTTTTTCACCCATCTCTTAAGGATCAGGGGGATTCCACTTCAGGATCACATGGTTCTCCCTACCTGCTTCATCTGTGTAATATCCGGAGATTCTTGCACACTTGTGTATTTTTTGTGACCTTTCTCATCTTAATAGGGTAAGAAGTCTAAAGACTATCTAAAGTTTTACAGTGGCAAAAAGAATGAGAAAACATGCTACCTGCTCACTAAATTAGCTATAATCATTCTGGATTGGAAATCAGAATGAGTGCATTCGGAGATTTATTCAACCAGCCAAATAATTTAATCTAAATATTTCACTTCTTATGAGGAAGAAGCCTTAACATTCCAATTGTAATTACTAAACTACTTAAGTTATTTAAAGAAAATTTTGTCGAAAGTCACTCTAAGGTAGTTTAGAACTATCACAACCCATTTATTATATTATTTAAGATTTAATCTTCAATTTGATTCACAGTCTGGGACTGTTAAAAACTTAACAGTTCAAGTCTTAACCAAGGACTGAGAGATGTTAAGGTAACGTCTGAGCATATAGGCAGTTCCGAATAAGGTGGATTATTATTATTATTATTATTATTATTATTATTATTATTATTATTATTATTCGGAACGACATCGAAAATACTATGTTAAATTGGTCGATAGTAAATTGAAGTGATTTCCTCTAATGATACCTTCTTTCGTCGCGGTGATGGGAGAAAGCCTTCCCACCCAAGAAAATAAAAGCTTGAGCACTGGTCGACTAAATTCCAAAGTGGACTACCAAGATGGTCATCCCAAAAACAACAAAAGCACTTCGGGAAGACGGAACTTCCTTTTCACTTTCCATTCTAGCAAGCCCTTCTAATCACAAAGCTGTTCTGTTCAATTCAAATAGTTCGCTTCAAACAGTAGCGGTATGATTCCCCTCATGGGGAAAGACCCGGGAGGAGGGGGGGGGACTAAAATGGCGCCAGTCCCTTTTTCCCTCACTGACGCATTACAGCCTCGCCCGACGTGATATAAAATGGTTGCTGCGACGGCCCCGAACTCAGCATAGTCAAGTACCCTGTAGCGTGAAGGCGGTCCCACGGGCCGATTACCAATAGATGGTGCCATCTAAAGCTAAAACGCCCAATGGCGACTATGGGCGGAGTTTGGAATCGCCAAGTGGCCAATGAGAACCTAAGCAACTGCTGGTGGCAGGGCCTCCCCGCGCGGCTCTGGGCGGTGCTGGGATAGGCGGGCGGGCGCTGAGACGGCCGTTTCCTGTCCTGGTGCATGGTGGTCGGACGAAGGAATTGTTGGAAAATTTCTCAGCGAGGTTCGTATATAAATGTGTTTTTACCCAGTGTGCCTTATTCTAACCGCCGCCATCTCCGACTGGGATGCTTCACTCTCGGGTTTGGTCTGGCCTAATCCCTTTGCGGCGATGTTCCACAGAGGGAAATGTGTGAGAAAACGGGGAGTCGCCCTAGTATCGCGGCTCATATTAATAATAAAGCCGAGGCGTTGCCGACGCCCGCCCGTTCCCTCTCTCTCTCTCTC